AATCTCAAAGTGCTACAAAAATAAAATAAAATAAAATAAAAATATTTGTAATAAAAACCCTTGGAAGTGGAAGCCAAGCATGTTTTATGACTTTCATTATTAACCCCACGATAACATAGGTACTGGGGAACACAGATCTCTGCAGCTTCGTTTTTACAGATGGTTTTATTTCAGACGTGGTCAAAGAGATCAGTCTTTTGTAAATTCCTCCAGGGGGTGCTGCCGTTTCAGACTGAAGAGTCTCCTGCCTACATAAGAGAAGGGTGGCTATAAAAATATATTTTATAATTTACTATTGAACAAACTGGTCATGACAGGGAAATAAACACTATTCGACAAGTTAACGAGATACTTTAAATGAAAAATGGAAAAGGGTGTTTAAACTATAAAACATGTGGTTTAAACAGTTTTCTGTCGAACTTTCCATACTTTTGGAAAATTCCATCCAAAATGCATCAAACTCATCCTCAGCACCGGCCTTCAAAGTGTCCGACCTAATTTAACCGCGAGGAACATTTCTGAAACACCTGCTGCTCAGAGCTGAGACCCAACCCAAACCCAGCAGCTCAGAGCAGCAGTGTGAGTCCACACTCTCTGCTGTCACAATGCTGCTGCTGTCACCCAGCAGCCTGCGCTGCTCAGGAGTTATTTTTGGATTGCCACTGTGATTTTCCTTCCATTTGCAGGAAGGGGGGGTTGACATGGACTCAGCATGAACCTGCCGTTTTGACACTTCAGGCTGGGACAAGCAGGCAGCAGCTGGCTGGCCAGCACCAAAACAGCAGCCTTACAGGTAACCATCGCAAAACAATTACACCTTTATTCTCCAGGTGAAGCAGAAAATGCTGCCCCGTGTTTGAGGAGATCAGGGTGGGATTTCTTGTCCCAGTAAAGCACCAGCAGCTTGAGCTAGTAGCTAAGACTTTTCATTGCTGTGTTTTTTGTCTCATTGTTGCTTTACAACACGCACGGCCTTAAAATGAGTTGATCAGGAGCAGTGAGGCGTGACGACTTTGACTTTTAATCTTCATGTTTTAAAATGCTTCTTGCTGACTTCAATATTTGCAATGATTAATACTCAAAATGATTTCTTCTGTGAAGGGGCCCTGCTTGGAGCACTTTGAGCCCTGCCAAGATTTTTCACCTGGTAAGTTTAGATTTTTTTTATCTCAACTCTGTTGTCCGTGACCGCGTGTAGTTTTCTTGGAGTTAACTGTATTTGTAGATGTTTGCAAGAGTTTTTAGTTTTATGAGTTTTAATTACATATGTTATTAGTACATTTCTATTATTACTCTTTCCTCTTTTGAATCTGCATCCTGAAGGCATTCCAAATGCCATAACTACCAAAGCCTTAAAAGGAGGATTGAACATCTCATGTGTCGGGCAGGCAGCAAGTTTAGCAGGGAGGAGTTTTAGTTTACAACCAATGACCTACAATTCACTGGGGTGTCAGTAAACTGAGAATAATAAATATTTTCAGACAGACTTTAAGCAGTCAGAAAACATCAGTCTTCCGAAAAGATTATCTTGTAAAAAACTTTTTCTTAAGTTTAGTTTGATTCCACAAAATGTTTATCTGTGAAACTCTTGCAGAATGTCATAATTTAACACAGACTGGTGAAAACTGTGCCTTTAAGCTACAAGCTTGTATATTTAGTTTAAATTGTCCCTCGGGGCAATAAGTGACAAAGTATTTCTGTAGCCCAATCAAGTATCAGTGGGCTGTCCCATTCATTAAGCAGCAGAAACCATTAGGACAGCTCAATATGATGCAGTTCATTATAAACTTTGATTCAAGACATTAAAATAAAGTGCAATGTAGAACAATGAAATGAATGATAAAAGTTATTTTTACTGCCAAATAAAAATGGTCGCTCACTAACAGCTTCTAAAATGAGATAAGACTTTTATAAAACTTAATGAACAAATAAACAACAAGAGAGATTAATCTATGGTGGCCAAGACCACCACTGACCATTCCCTGGCTCCGCCATAGGGATAGGACGGGCGATGGTCACTTGCTGCCCAATTTGTTACTTCATCAAAGGATCAGTGTTTGTTACTGTTCCATTATTCATTTACATTGTGCAGTCTGTACAATTTTATAAACCATTTTCACTTCAGTACAGTGGATGGATGGATGGATGGATGGATGGATGGATGGATGGATGGATGGATGTTAGAGATGGGATAAATGGCTCTTTGAAGGGATCCAGATCTTGGGGAGCCGTTTGTTTCATAAAGCCGTTCGATTTCGAATGTGTTACATCATCACGTAGGGAAATACATCATTACGTAGCCGTACGTAATGACGTCTTCCCGTCACATGGGTGGAACCATGTGTTTGTTAAGTGGAAACCCCCCTTCCCCTTCCCTCATGAGCTTCTGTACTCCACAACTCTGCATGTTTTCCATGAAAAGGCAAAGCGGGAGCAATTTAAGTATGAAAACTAAAGATTAAATGAGGAATAAAAGAAATAAAACTACAAATGGCTCGTTACTGCCCACGATTCGGCTCCTATCATTCGTTGTAAAGAGCCATTCAAAAGATTTGGAACGTTCACTAATGTCACATCTCTAATGGATGGATGGATTAATGAATGAATGGATGGATGGATGGATGGATGGATGGATGGATGGATGGATGGATGGATGGATGGATGGATGGATGGATGGATGGATGAATATCACCCACCACCTTTCATGTCAGAATTTCAAGATAAAATCTTACGTGAGAAATGGTGGACTTGTAGACATTTAGGTCAAATTTTGAAAAGGATGCAGTATATTGTGCAGGACATGGGCACCAG